TTTTTGTTGAGATGGAGTCTTGCTCTGTCGCCCAGGCTAGAGTGCAATGGCATGATCTCAGCTCACTGCAACCTCCACCTCCTGAGTTCAAGTGATTCTCCTGCTTCAGCCTCCTGAGTCACTGGGATTACAGGTACACGCCACCACACCTGACTAGTTTTTGTATTTTTACTAGAGATGGGGTTTCACCATGTTGACCAGGCTGGTCTCCAATTCCTGACCTCAAGTGATCTGCCCCCCTCAGCCTCCCATGCTGGGATTACAGGCACGAGTCACCGCGCCCGGACTGCAGGTTGCTTCTATGTGAACAATCCCATGACCTCTGGTCCTTCTTCTGCTTTGTGGTTGGCTCAACTGAGTCATGGTGGTGAGAAAGAGAACCCACTCTCCCTGCCTTGCTCCTGGCAGGGGAGCCTAGCGTCCAGTGAGATCAGGTGTAGTAGACTTGTGGGGTGGGAATGTGAAGAGCTGAGGCTCGTGTGCCTGGCAGGCCTGGCCGTATGAGATGGGCGACCTTGGGGGTTGAGTTAACCCTGGCAGGCTGTGTCCTTGTCTGAAAAGGAGGATAATCATATGAACCTCTCAGGAGTTGTGAGGGCAGTGCCTGGCCCAGAATAGATGTCTGTTCCCTTCCTCCTGGTCTAGGTAGAGCTGAGTGGGGTTAGAGTTCTCTAGGAGGCTGCTTTGTCCACTGTGGCATGTGTCAGTGCCCAATGGGGCAATGTGGCCTTTGGCCCTGGAGGCTGAAGCTATCCCGTGGCACCCTGCTGTCCTCTCCCCACTATGCTCCCAGGACCTCAGCACCTCCGGTCCCCAGGCACCTTTCTTGCCTCCACAGGTCCCCAGTGTTGGAGACGAATGTGTTGTCCTCAGGGCTCTCTCAGCCATTCTCTTGTTTGGTATTCAACTGGCAAGAAATTAAATTATATGTCCAAACCACACAGTTAGTACATGATAGAGCTGGGACTTGAACTCATATCTCCGTAATCCTATTCTCAAGCCTTGTCCACAACACTCAGTCATCCTGATCAATCTCCTTACTAGATATCTGAGGACACCGATACCAGAGAGGCCAAGTAGCTTACCGAGGGTTCCACACTAGTTAGCATCAGGGCTTACAGCCCAGCGGTTTCACTACCACTCTGTGTACTATTGAATATTACTGGTTATGGTGTTCCCTAAGCAAGCAATACCACCACCTGGTGGCTGTATGCCTGAATTACAGGGGCAACTCCTAAGGGTCAACTCTCTCTCCTCCCTTTCAACCTGATGACTAAAATTGATTTTCGAAAAAGTACCTAGCTGGGTGACATCTATGTGACAAATTCCTAAAGTAGTCCTTCATCAGATCCCTCTTGAGAGCAGCATTTGAAGCACGGCTTGTGGGTTTGCAGATGGGGTCAGTGTATACGGAACAGAGTTAATGCGATGCACAGATCTAGTCAGAAGCCTCATTGTGCCTGGACCTTACCCCTCTATCCCTGTGGTGAAACCTGTGTTGGCTGTTCACTCTGTGGTGCAATGCTGGCTTTAAAATGGACTGTCTCTTCTTTTTTTAAAATTTTCTTGAGACAGAGTTTTGTTCTTGTTGCCCAGGCTGGAGTGCAATAGCACAATCTCAGCTCACTGCAACCTCCACCTCTCTGGTTCAAGCGATTCTCCTGCCTCAGACTTCTGAGTAGCTGGGATTACAGGCATGTGCCACCATGCCCAACTAATTTTGTATTTTTAGTAGAGGTGGGGTTCCTCCATGTTGGCCAGGCTGGTCTCAAGCTCCCGACCTCAGGTAATCTGCCCACCTCAACCTTCCAAAGCGTTGGGATTACAGGCATGAGCCACCGTGCCTGGCCCTGGACTGTCTCTTTAAAAAATCTTTCTGCTTGTAACTGAAGCCGCCGCTGAAGCTGTTACCAGGGGCAACCTGGCAAGCCATAGTGCGTTAAATTAAATTAAACAGGCTTGTGACTGCCCCCTCCTCTCCTGGAGAAGGGAGGGGGTGTTCCACCTCTCTCCTGGAGAATAAAGTTGCTGTGAAACCTCTTATGGCTGCAAGGAATTCAGTTACAGAGTTTACGACTCCCAGAGGCAAGATGTTCGGAGGCAGCCTGGGAGGAGGCTCACAGGATTTCTGCCAGAAGAGGAGTATTTACCGTGAACCTGCCTGGGGTGGGGGGCTCTGGTCAGGACACCCCCTCTTTCTCTCCTTATCACAATCCCATGGGCTGGAGATTCCTGTGAGAGA